AAAAAAGGAGAAAAAAAAGCTGCTAAATGCTGCCAATGGCTCCCTCTCATCCCTCTCTGTTTTCTGTTTCCCTCACTTTGTCTGAAGATCAACCATTTAGGTCTCCGCTATCTGATCTCGCTAAACTAGCTATCAACATCCGGAGTGAGTTGGTGTAAGGTCTACACTGAACCTGTACTGCCTGTTTCGAGAAGAATAACTGGTGTAATGCTAAAAGGCAAGATGAACAACCCCTTTTCAATCAAAAATAGATAAATGGACATTTCAGTCATCTCAGCGTGCCAAGTTTCGATTCAACCAGGGTCGTCTTTTAACCCAAAAACATGCTAAACTTTGTCAACATGCCTCTTAGCGTTTAATAAGTACTGAAAAATTGACTTGACTCCACTTTCTGCTGCCGCTAAGTGTAGCAGTAAGTCTGACTGATGCAGCGCGATCAGACGACATTATTAAAAAGAAAAAGCCGCCTTAGTGAGGTATCGGGTTGGAAAGCTGTCAGTAATCAGATGTTGCACTGACAGATGATGTTTGTGCAATGTTTTCATGTGGGATGGAGATTTGATTAAAAAAAAAAACCCAATTTCTCATAAACAAAGCCAAACCTGACTAGAGCAGATAGCATAAGGTGTTGCTACACTTGCTCCACACTGTTTATGACAACATGCATTCATATCAGTGATTTATAATTTCATTTCAGTTTTTCATTTACTTGCATTTGGTCTGCAATGAACGATCAGCTCACTTATTGTTTTTTGATTACCTTGTCAATTGTTTGGTCTATGAAATGGCAGAATATTGAAAATGACTCCATATAGTGTCCTTGAGGTTGTTTGACCAGTGCAGCAAAACTTTTCATTTAAAAACAAAAACAGAGAGAGACAGCCTGACAGTTTTTCACACTAGAGAAACTGTATTGGAAGTTTTCTGTTAAAATGGCTGCTAATTTAGCCGTTTGAGCAGCACTAACTAAATGATTAGCTGAGCATTTCCTTCAGCACTGAGCCCCCTTTCAGACACACGATCCTGTCCTTTAATCCGACGACATCCAAACATGTCGGCTTCACGTAACACCTAGTAACACTTTCGTATCGGTTTCAACTCAACTCTGAACCGCATGTCGACGCTTCAACAGATCGGCACGCACGGGCGACATGCTTGGAGCTGTGCGGAGACATTTGGGGAAGGCTGTTTCTGTGTTTCAGCACCGACGTCGGTCCAAAATATCACACAGAGCAAAAGACACAGTTTTGCTCACTCACTTCGCTCTACAGTTTCACATCTATTACAAACTGAAATGCCCATTAAATAAAGATTTACTGTGATGAAGACAAAGAAAGTCAGATTAACAAGACTCGCCGATAATTCATGTAACTGATTGTTTGGTTTGTTGCTTCCAGCTGTTTGTAGGAGTCTTTTCTTTAAGTTTATTAAATATCTGCAGCATCCATAACAGAGAGACAGATGTGCACTTATCATTGATTACGTATTCATTATCTCTGACATGGAGACAGGATGGATCAGAATCTAAAAGCAGGTCATACTGTGTACTTTTACTGCAGTTAAATCTTTTGTTGCACATACATCACATGGGATATTTGCTATTTTACTGCTGGTAAAGTAACAGTTAAATAATCTTAACAGACAACACACAGACAGAATTTTAAGTAGCAGTAGCTGCATTATTATGTAATATACATCACTTTATATACGGTCTAATCTTGCATGTACTGCAGGTATCTTGTGTGTGCCGTGGCTCTCTCTGTGTCAGTGGCGGGTCCATGGGAAACACTAAAAGTAGCATCACTTTAACAGATTGATAAAGCCAGTGTTAATATCTTGTGTCTGAAACGGTTTTCTAGTTTTAACCACTTCACAAGCTGCTTAAGCAGGCTGCTGAGCTAAATAACACAACAAAGAGTAGAACTGCAATAAGTTCAGCTCACAGAAATGTGTGGTTTGCAGCTAAAAATACTAACCCGCCGCTCATATAATGTCAGGTCTCAGCGGCGGTGAAGTCAGGAGCCTGATGCTTCACCGTCTATTTACGTATGTGAGCAATGGCAACGCAACAAAGCAGGGTGACCTAAGTTTTTGGGGGACCGGGCAGGCTGGTATGAGCTCCTACTGCATGTGTCTGTTTACGTGCATGTGTGTGTTTGCATGTGTGCCTGATCCGGCCATAGTCTGGAAGGAGGAACAATGGCATTCCTGTGCTCTGAGCTCCAGGTGGCTGTGGAAACCCAATCCTAAACCAAGCCTCGCTGGCACACAGAGCGCCGGGAACGCCGAATGCTGCTGCCTCCCTCCGGAGACACGGGCCAGAATAGGGCTATTGTTCCAGACCAGCTCGGAGCAATAAATGCACCGCGGCCACGCTCGATGACAAACACCAATACACTCTCAAACAGAGTGGATATTAAGAGTATTTCACCTTTAGCTCTTTCATTTTCAGGATTGTACACTACTGACCCACAAAAGGCATGGGAAAGTCAGCTTATAGGAGCCACTGATTTCTGCCTGTGATTAAAAACACATACTTTATAATTAGGAGTTTTTTAAAGATTAAATTAATTACAATCTAAAGCATGCCATTATAAAGATTATAACCACCTGTATGACCATTACGCAGCAGAAACACACACAACCTATTACTTACACATGCCCTCTATATGAGCTGAAGCCACAGTGACGCACTTACTGACAGTTTTTTTGTGTTTTTTTTTTTATTTCTATATATGTGAGACCTTAATTGATGTCATGCAGTATCTAAGAGGCCAATTACGTTGTCTCGTAAACTCCACAAACCTAGACAGAGTTTGGCCAAAATGCTCCCAGTTTTAAAACAAACAAAAGAAATCTCAAATCTGGACTCAGAGCAGTGCATCTGCGGTGGCCTGAACTCACCGTCCACACACACTCACACAGGGCAGGAAACGCTTCATGCGGACTCCACGGCCTTGAAATGAGGAAAATGATTCATTTCCTTTTGATGCTTTACAGTCATGCTTGAACACAAGTTCAGATATACAGCTCTGAGGCAAGATCCTGAACATGAGACAAACCCGAGGTCAGGAGCAACGGATGGTTCGACAACTTGCAGCTCATGTGCACTATGGCCGCAAGATATTACGGAAAATAGATATTTTGCAATACCATAAAGACATTTGCCATTTAGATAGAGTTAACCACTACAGAAGGATTGGAGCGATTTTGTGAGGCAGTGCATCAACGCAGAATAGAAATAATTCTTAAAAAGCTGCAAAAAGTTGTTTGTAACCTCTCACATGATGTAAAACCACAGAAGGCAAACGAATGTGTGTTTGTTTTTTCCTTTTTCAGAACTGGTTTTGCACTTGTCTAGCTTCTCAGTGCTGTTTTAAATAGTCAAATAAATTAAGCATGTTGCTTTGTAGCACCGAGTACCTGTTTTTCGATCATCATGATTATGTCGCCAAAATATTTGCATACAGCTGACGCTTCATTTCTTTTTGCAACCAAATCTTCCTTTCTTCATTTTCTGCTCATTTTGCACATGTGGAGGCTGCATGTCCATGAACTTAATCTCTCAATAAGCAAGTGTGCATCCAAGTAACCTTGAATCTGACTATATGACGTTCAGACTTCTCTTGTAGATCAGTGCTGGAAAGTGACAAGTTTCTTTTTGATTAAAGCAGCAAAATGAAGTTGTGATGTGTCGCGTTTCACTTCACATCTCAAGTGTATGTGCACAAAACAATATATCGTGCACCCCCAACACGCAATGCAAGGCAACACCTACACAATATGGCTGAGCTAGTTCTTGATTTTTGCAATTAAACCAGCAAGATCTCCCTGGTGCTCACCATTGGACCGTTGCTACAGGTAGCACAAAGGTGCAGCAGCTTCCCTCCAAACAACGCAGCATATTCCCCTCCTGCGCTTGCACAGAAAACACCACACACATGCTGCTGGGGATAAATAATAAATGCTCCTCTTTTCTCTCCCTTTAAGGAACATGACAGATTAATTTAATTGGTTCCCCGTCAATCCTACATCTTCATCGGCTCTGTGCTTCTGCGGGATTGATAGTGAATCCATTTTCTTATCTCTGGGATAATTACAGCATTGTTAATGCATGCTCGCTCATGCACGCTCGTTGTCTCCTTCTTTCACTCACTCAATGAGTTTCTCTTCCACACATGCTTCAACCAAAAAAAGAAAAAAAAAAGAAAGGTCTCTATGTGAGTGGATTGGATTACATAAAATGTGATTAACCTCAGTTTAACAGGGGTTAAAATCTGCAGCAAGGCAAAGAAGGGGAGCTTCATTCAAGCCACTAGTTTGTTTCTCTTTAATTCCTTCTCCACCTTGTTTGTGTGGAGCTAAGCTAAATCATCTGACCTCTATCAGACACTGGAGACACAACAGCCGCCCAAGCAGAGGTTAAATTCCAGGTTTACAGCTCATCTTTCCAGGTTGTGATGCAACACTGGAGCTCTGCACACTCCCTTGTAAGCACTTTAATGCTTTTTTTTTCTCTCTCTCTGTCTCATGCATTTGCACAATCAAGACAAGCAGGAGGACAGGAAGGCACGCAGGCCATCTGATAACTGTCTCATTTGAATGGACCGTTAGGAAAAGTCGCTGCAGTCAAATGCGGCAAAGTGTGAGATAATATACATTAACCTGGCCCCGTTCAGCGGCACCGACAGCGGATCAACAGTCAAGGTTGAGCGACGCCCGTTACATGGAAAGTAAAAGGCTTCGGTTTTGTTGGGTTTCAGAAAAAAATGTGGCTAATTAGCAGCGAGCAAAGTGAGGAATCCGTGTGTTAAAGTCGCATCACATCCTCGTTGCTCGGCTGCTTCTGTCAACATGAACCCCCCTCTCTCTCCCTCCTCCTGCCCCGCCGTAGCGCCGCTGCTAGACAGCGCTACAGGGTCAGAAACAAGCCCGCAGTCCCCGTGTGGGTGTCAAAAAGAGCCACAATATGAGGTTAGGTATATTTAATTTGGGCTTACCTGGAGTGACGGGTCGCCTCGAACCGCCGCGGGCTGGAAAACCGACACGGTACAAAGTATCGCGGCTAAGTTAGCGGCTTGGCTAGCTAGCTTAGCGGGCTAACGGTAGAGGGGAGGGAGGGGGGGGAGAGTGGCTCCGTGTGTCGTCGAGACAAACCCTAAAAAAAAAAATAAAAATAAAAATAAAAAATACAAGCCGGGGATGTGAGGTCGGCTGCTGCGAGAGCGTCCAGTGTCAAAAGGCGGCGGTGGCAGAGGAGGAGGAGGAGAAAGCAGAAGAAGAAGAGGAGGAGACATCCATTAGAGCGCGGCGGCTCAGTAACGCTATGCGGAGGGAAGCGCTCTCTCTGCGGGCGGACGTGCTGCCGCTGCCTCGGTGTGTCTGAGCGGAGCTGCGCTGCTGCTGGGGAGCGGAGAGAAACAGAGGCGGCAGCATCACTGCTCATCCCTCCCTGGACTCACTCAACCCGGAAGAAATACTACAACTGGTCCCATCCTCCTTTACTCAGTCCAAAAAAAAAATACCCAGCATTAAAATAAAAATAAATAAATAAAGACAAATGTATGAAAGCTAAGCATTAATGCACAAAATCAGAATGAAGTAGCTGAACTGCTGTCACAAAACTTCAATCATACCAGTTTTTATGAGTCAAACTGGGATCACAGAATGTAGACCAAATAATACCAGGATGTTATCAGGAAAAAATAAAATTAAAATGCTGCATATTAAGCTTTTTTTTATGTAACTCTGATGCAAAAGTACATTAGAACTCATAGGCAATACACTAAGCTTTATTATGTAACCTTCAATTGACTGAAATGTGATAAAAGTTCTGCCTTTTTAAACTACTGATGAAGCTCAGAACATAATTATAGTTTAAATTACATCAGATAAGAAGACACCAATGATTTTTTTTAAAGTCCTGAATTTAAAATGTTGCCTAAATGTCCAATATTGTTCCCCTTTACAGCAAATGCCATGTAAAAGTACATGAGATTAGAACTCAAATACAGTATATTAAGCTTTATTATACAACCTTTAATTAATTTAAATGTGACAAAAGCTACGCCTTTTTTAACTACTAATGAAGCTCATACTATAATTACAGTTTAAATTACATAAGATAATAAGGCACCCGTGTCAAAGGTGTCCTCGTACTGCACCACGCTGTTATAATAAAAGTCCTGAATTTAAATGTTGCCTAAATGTCCAATATTGTTCCTCTTTGCAGCAAATGCCATGTACAAGTACATGAGAATTACATTAGAACTCGAATACAGTATATGAAGCTTGATAATGTAACCTTCAGTTGATTCAAATGTGATAAAAGTTTTTTAACTCCTAATGAAGCTCATGACATAATTACAGTTTAAATTACATAAGATAATAAGGCACCCGTGTCAAAGGTGTCCTCGTACTGCACCACGCTGTTATAATAAAAGTCCTGAATTTAAATGTTGCCTAAATGTCTAATTGTTCCTCTTTACAGCAAATGCCATGTACAAGTACATGAGAATTACATTGGAACTCAAATACAGTATATGAAGCTTTATTATACAACCTTTAATTAATTTAAATGTGACAAAAGTTACGCCTTTTTTAACTACTAATGAAGCTCATACCATAATTACAGTTTAAATTACGTCAGATAATAAGGCGCTGGTGTCAAAGGTGTCCTCGTACTGTACCACGCTGTTGCAGTAAAATCCTGAATACTGCGCTCCTTTTCAGTAAATGTCATTTAGGACTCACATACAGTACATTAAGCTTTATTATGTGACCTTCACTTGATTTAAACCTGGTGAAAGTTAGACTTTTTAAACTGCCGATAAACCACATAATATTATTTAAATTACATAAGATATTAAGACACTTATTAACAAACATACTTTATAAAAAATAAAATATATAGTTATTGTAAAAGTCCTGAATTTAAAATGTCACTTAAAGGTCCCATATCAGGCCACTTTTTAGCAAATGCCATGTAGACGTACATGAGAAGTACACTGGAACTCAAACAGAGTATTAATAAGCTTTATTATGTAACCTTCAGTTGATTAAAATCTGGCAGGTGTTCTGCTTTTTAATTCAATTTAATTACATTTTATATTCATACATATATCACCAATTCGCAGCATATGTCATCTGACAGCACTTCACATCGTACGCCGAAGTGTCTCACTATTGGTTCCTCATTTGGTAAAATTCCTGTTGGCCTGCAAAGCTTTTATTTTACACCTCCAAGTTCACAACAGCCGCAAAACACAAGAAAAATGGGCTTTGACCATCTGGGACCTTCAACTAAAAACATGTAACCCATTCAAGTCAGACATGTCCTCAGTGATCCTCCCAGTTTGGCCATCACATACACAGACAACAACAAGGTGTTCAGATAGATATTTATCCCTTTTTCTCTCTCAGGGATGAAGAATTTAGATGATGAATGGACCCAGCTATAGGTGGCGGAACCAGACAATTACAGGCTTAGAGCATTACTCACATTGGGGAGACGCAATGTCTTGTTTATTTTTATTTTGGGCAAATTGCTGCAGGCCAAACTGTCATTTTTTTGCTCACTTGCTGTTCTCATTTGGTGAGACTGCTACTAGAAGACTATTAGAAGTACATTGGGACTCCTATACAGCATATGAAGCTTTTTCATGTTAAACTTAGTTGATTCAAACTCTGGAACGGTTGCAAAATGTTTGCTTTTTTTAATTGTCGATAAGCCAGTAGTTGAAAAGTGTCCTTGTACTTTAATTAAACACACGAATGCACTTTAACTAGTGAAAACATGTACAAATATGTGACCCATCTGCACGAAATCAGTCGGATTGCGCCTTGGGCTATACCCGAGATACAGCCTGAATTACGTTAACACATGATAAAATATTGATTTTGGGTTTTTTACTTCGATCGGTCCATTTGGTTGTTTCCTACATGTAGGTAACATATAATATTGCGTATCGCTGTCAAATACCGTCAGCGTGCATGAGCGGTAGCACCAGAAAGAAGCCACTGAATTCACTTGTGCGCAGGCGCCACGAGCTGTGTGTCATTGCCAGCCAATCCTGTCCCATGATTTGCGTCATGTGGTAGCAACATGCCGCTTTTGTTTACGCATAATAGCAATGCGACTGATTTCGTACAGATGGGTCACATAAAGCCTTTTTTACTTATAAAACAGATGCATTTGTTATTGTCTAACTGCTTTTTAAAGACAATAATATGAATTGTACATATTGTCAAGTTGCTCGGAAATATTTGGTCATATGCGGTGGATGAAGAGATGGCTGCGTTGTTAAAATGCATCTGTATGCGAACATCGGCTCCAATGGTTCCACTAAAAAGTTCTGCCAGAGAAACTGAACTGCATGAGTAGCGGAGTGACGTGTCATAAAACTTAAATCATCCCTACGGCCTAATCAGAATAGTCATAATAATAAAACGTCCATTAAAGTCAAATCAGTCTGACAGTATTGGTATTGAGCATATCACATTATAAATTACAGAGGACATGCCTTGTAGTCTTGAAGCAAAGTAAGAGCCTCTAACTGCACTTCAGGGAAGCTGCGTCGCTCTTGTAAGACAGTTTCAACCGGGGACTTTCTGCTCCGTAACTTTTATTGTTCTACAAGAGCAAAACCTAGACTGAGACCATTATAGATAGCAGTGAGGGGTTTGAAACCCAACCACATGGACAGCCAAGTGTTAGAATTTAAGGCAGATAACTGAGCAAATGTACAAAAATCCCCCCAAAAAATAATCAATATCCATCTTTTTACATGAGTCGGAACACATTATTTTAAACTGTAGAATCCAGAAGATTATATCAAGTGGCTAAATAGCCTGACTTTTCCTCTTTTAGCCAAAAAATAAATAAAATAAGCAGTAATGATTTCACCCTGAGGGAAGCTGCTTCTTTCATGTGAAAAACAAGAATTTCAACTCAGACTTTCCGAAATTTGTGTTTCCTAGAGACAGAAAATATTAATACTAAACATAACTAAACCTTGTCTTATGAGCTGAACTAAAACATGCTTTTTTTGAAGTGAAATACCAAATTGTGCAAAATACAGGCTCACTGATGTGTTAAACATCTGTATAGTTTTAGCCAACAAGCCATGGAAACGTGTCAATGTGTAGAAAACCTTAAAACGTCCTTCTCTCCTTTAAAAGACCCTCTCTGATCAAGTTCTTCTAACATGTCCATATGATGGGTTTTTCTATATGTTGGAAGACAAAGTTTGTCATAGACCTGCACTTTCTAGAGAAAGCAGCAGTGTGGAGTTACATCTGAGCCATCCTGAGGCTGTAAGGGCTCATTTTAATGGAAAAACTTCTAAAAACTTTACTATTGATACAGAGATGAGCTTCTAGGGTTCAAATTAGTGACTGAAAAGTAACTTTGAACTAAGGTTTTGTTGAAAGTCTGGAACATTTAACTTTGAGGTATTCCATCCATGTGTCATATAAACTCTTGTGAATCAGCAACACCTGAAGCTGCTTAATGTTTACAAATCCTTGCCAGACCTTCAGCTGATGGAATCATGAGTGTTGGGAAGGTTAATCTTTGAATTAGTTGGGAAACTTCAACACTGGAAGAAGTTGCTTGTTGTCCATCCAACATCAGGATGCATTCATGTTACTTCAGTGTTTCCGTTGCAGTTCTATCAAATCTACCTTTGTGAGGTATACCTGACCACTCGACCAACATATATCACCATCGCCTTGGCAAACAGAGACTTAACCAAGTCCACAGCCAGGTGATCCAACAGCCCTCGTCCAGTAAACATGCACATCCCAGTAAATCACCACGCTGCACTCCTTCAGCCCCGAAACAACTATCAGATGCTTGAATGTTGCTGGAGTCCGAATCTCACGACCCCATACTCTTATGGCCCAGACGGAGTGGAGAAAAAAGGTCAAGATTTCACATGGAACCTGCCAATATCCTTACATAAATCAAATTTGCAAGGGTTCAAATCCCGGATGAGCCCCCAATTTCGTCAAAACCTGGTTCGCAAAGCCTTGACAAGCCACACCAGTTTACCAGAGTCTGGCAACAATAAGGTGTTAAGCACACTGAGGATATTTAAATGGATTAAAATCAGGATGTGCAGGAGGTTGCACATCCTACACGAGAAAAGAGCAGGTTTAAACAGAAGGTATGTGTGTTCAAAAAATAAAAATAAAAACACCAACCACAAAACACTGCTACACAGCACTAATAGTTCACCATGACAGACGGCCATAACTTCAGCTTTTATGAGCCACTACTTGCACACATCCCATCAATCCAATAGGACCTAAGATGCACCTGAGGGCTTGTCATGTGCTGCTATATACTGATAAAAACTGAGCCGAAAAAGAAGTGGAGAAAAGCCAATCGGCTCCTCTTTTTTTTTTTCCCCCTCAAAAGAAAAGGAGAGCTGTTTATGGCTAATG